CTGTAGATTCAAATAATTAATTACAGTTTATTTATATGAGAAAATAATCTTTGTGTTTCTTTGTTTGTTTCTTTATACAGATGTAAGACATAAGTTCGGACGAGTATCAAGGTTTCGACTTACTATTTAAATACCATTTGGATAGTAATAAACAAGTTTTTTTTAATTATTTTAAAAAATTGGTCCAAATATCACTTTTTATATTCAGTTTTTACAATGGTATAGAAATTATTAATTATTAGTAAAAACCATGGTAATGGTTTAAACCTTAGTACCATGTCTGTGTTAATTATTCGATTTGAATGACAAAAAGGATTATATGGAATATTCGATAGCATTTAAAAATTCGATGTGTTTTATATAACATAGAAAACACTAAAAAGTTTTGAAGCTTTTTTTTATGGAGTGGTTTGTCTTCCTTTTTTGTCATAAAAATTTAAAAAAGTTTTTTATTAATGAAAAGAACTAAAAAATTCCAAAAGAAGTGAGTCTTTTTCCAAAAATATTTTGAGGTTAGCAAATTTGATATTAAAATTTTTTTTTTCTGAATCAACATACAAATTAAAGTAAAATATTACATAACAAATATAATAAGTATAATATTAATAATTAATAACATACTATAATAATTATTAGAATATACCATATAAATGTTATTAATATACCATTTGACATATCACAATTAAAACTATTATAGTCAATGATGTTGATAATTATAATTTTTATTATAGCAAGAATATTTATCAATATAAAAATAAAGTAATAATTCAAATTTTTTCTCTAATAAAACTTGTGTTGTTGCTATTTTGATACTGATAATGTTTTAAACATTATTGAAATTTCCAATCTATAAATTATGATAATTATAACTACACTTATTAATTATTATTAAATATTGAAAAAGAACAAATATTTTTTATATAAATAAACAAATTATTAATTATCATTATTTCATTTTAAATTTATCTTCTCCAATAAAGACCAACAGAAAATAGTCGTACAGCAAGAAAATTGTCGCACACTTGTGTTTTTAGTATCAAACAAACCAAAAAATCGGGTATATTTTTTCACATTTAAAATTTGACTAAACAATCAGGAAAAAAATCGGGTTTTGAAAAAATAAAAACCCGACTTTATACAGAAAAAAACCTTAAAACAATGTGTACGACTATTTTCTGATGTACGACAGTTTTCTGGTGCTCTTTAAGTCATTTATTGAGAAAAAATTAATAACAGCCAATATTTTACAATAAAGATTCGGGAAAAATAATACCGAATTATTGATTATAAACTATGATATATGGTTTATTTTATTTAATTGTATAGTAAATGAAATAAACATTTTAAAAACTAGAACAATATTTAAAAATAAATTTAAATTACAAAAATACTTTTCAACCAGAACATAAAATAGTAAAGACAAATATTGATAGTTTTGACATAATGGAATAATTTCAATGATTCACTTTTTTAAAACTAATAAATTATAACAAAATTAGTATAAATATAATATAAATAAAAAGAGTAATAAAAAAGTACATATCAATATTGAAATGCCATTTTAACTCAAACAAAAAGACGAGAAAAAAATGTATAGAACCATTGAATATAATAAAACTAAAAACGTCAAATTCAGAACAATACAAATGGCACGAGAAATCTTTATTGACGAGTTTACTGAACTTACTCGCTGCTCCAAAAAGAACACATTAACAACAAAGCAATGTGTTGCATTGACCCTCAAACACTTTCCACATGCCAATGTATCAAAAGAGTCCCTTGATATAGTATGGACTATGATGGGGAAGAACACCGACATCACACGACAAATGTACACAAAATTTTCTCAACATTTAGACAATTTAAGTTTCAAGACGGGAAAGTTAGAAGCTCAGGAGATTTTTACAGCCGCCTTCTTTACGTTGGATGTACTTTCCGTCTATTATTTGACTTCAAAAGAACTTTCAGAATGTTTTAAAACGATGGGAGACAAAAGGAATGGGAAAAGCATTTCAAAGTACATTTTGGAATACGACAAGAATGGGGATGGCGTGTTACAAATAGGCGAGTTCTTGGACGTGATGGACACCCTCTACAAAATCAGTGCAATTCCAACAGAAGACTTTCTACGAAAAATGAG